GTAAGATGAGCGACAGGCGTCGGATTCGACGCATTTGTTTCTTATGTTGTGGGAGGGCGGGCAGGAGTGGACGGAGCCATCCGGCTCGGTCGAGCTGGCTAACTTGACACACTAACCTACGCCTATCACCCAACTTCTAACCCGCCGACCCAAACCCAAACCCTACCACCCTAATCCTGACCACCTAACGCTAACCCGCACCCTCGAATCCTGACCCTAATCCCCTAACCCTAACCCCTAGCCCAAACGCTAACCCTACACCCCCCCGAGTCCTAACCCCCTAGCCCCCATGACACTACTAACCCTAACACCCTAACGCTAACCCTACCACGCTGACCCTAACCCCTGACGCTATCCTTATCACTCGAAGCTGAACCCTGCCACCCAAACCATAACCCTGACCGGAACGGCCTAACCCAGACCCCCCAACCCTAACCCGAACTTCCTGACCCTAATCCTAGTACCATAACAAGAACCTCTGACCCGAACCCTGACCCTACCCCCCCGAACCGTACCACCCTAACCCGAAACCCCGACCCGAACCCGAACCCGAACCCGAACACCTTACCCCGAACCCTATACCTAACACTACCACCCTAAACCTAACACCCGGACCCCGCACCCTAACCTGAACATCCGAAACCTGACCCTACCAACCAAACCCTAACAAACTCACCCGAACCCCAACACCTCACCCCTGACCTAATCCTAACCCTACCACCCGAACCCGAAATTCCTAACGCGAGCCCTAATCTGAACACCCTAGCCCTAACCCCGCCACCCGAACCTTAACCAAAACACGCTAATCCGAGCCCCTTAACCCGAACCATAACACTGACCCCGTGCGCCTACCCCCCATACCCTGACCTAAGTCCCCTGATCCTTACTTTGTATGATTAAACACCCCCAAAGCCCCACCCGGCCGGCCGATGGCAACCCCGCCGTCCTAACTTGAAGCAGCAATTTTGTTTAACAAAAAAGGTTTCTCGCCAACATGTCGTCGAGTTACAATACGTGCAACAGGAATTTAACGGAATGAACATCGTTTGGGTGACCCTGAGCGGGTGGTCGCGTCCCACCCATCACAAAACAATGCAAACTCAACGTGTTTCCCGACAACATGGACTTTCTTGTCGTCGACGCTGCGAAAAGTGTCGCAGGAATGTGACGGAATGAACATCGTTTGGGCGAACCTGAGCGGGTGGTCGCGTCCTACCCATCAGAAAACAATGCGAAGTCAACGTGTTCCCCGACAACATGGACTTTCTTGTTGTCGACGCTGCGGAAGGTGTAGGAGGAATGGTACGAGGCGCGCATCGCGCGCGGACGCCTGGCCAGCGGACGCCTGGCCAACCCTACGCAGTCACAAAACACTGCAACGTCGACGATTTTCTTGCCAACATGTACTTTCTCCTCGTCGTCGCTGGGAATCGCGCAGCGGGACTGGGACGCCCCGCGAATTCCCAAGAGGCGTTCTCCTTTTCCTCCTCAGTTTCTCCCTCCCTATCTCTCTCCTTCCCCTCCTTCTCCTCCTCCTCCTCCTCCTCCTCCCCCTCCTCCATGAGCGGCAAGAGCAAAACGATTGGCGGTGCAACATGCGTGGCTGGAATGAGACGCGGCGCACTTCGCGCGCTGGACATGTTGTCGTCGACGATGCAACATGAGAGGCCGGAGCTGGGCGCGGCGTACATCGCGCGCGGTCTTGTTTCTCGTCGACGCTGCTCAACACGCGGCAGGAATAGGACGCAGCTCATGTCGCGCGCTGAACGTCTAACCGCCTACGATAGAAGATGAGCGACAGGCGTCGGACGCGACGCACTTGCTTCGTATGTTGTGGGGGGGCGGGTGGGAGTGGACGGAGCCCTCTGGCTCGTTCGACCTGGCTAACTTGACCCTACTCCTGACCCTATCCCCCGAACCATGCCACCCAAATCCTAACCCCCGAACCCTAACCCTAACACCTTACCCCTAACCCTAATCCTGACACTACCACCCTAAACCTCACCCCCTAACCCTAACCCTAACCCTAACCTGAACACCCCAACCCTGACCCTACCACCCTAACCCGAACCCCCAAACCCTAACCCAAACCTGAACACCGTTACCCTGACCCTCCCACCCTAATCCTAACCCCCAATCCCCAACCCCAAAACCTCAAACCCTAGCGCCCCGACACCGTAGCCCTAACACTTTTAACACTCTCACCCCAACCCAACAACCCTTACCCTGACCCCCACTATCTCCTGCGCATCACACGGACGCGGGAGGCACCCCCGCCCCCCTGTCCGGCGCAAGGGGGGTGGGGTCCGACCTCCCCCGCCCCCTTGAATAGGGCAGGGGCAGGGTCCGAAATCCCCCCCCCTCCTCTCCGGCGCAAAAGGGTGAGCGGGGGGGTCCGAAACCCCCACACCCCCGGTCCAAGGGGGGGACAGAGGGGCGGTCCGAGAACATACCCCCCGTGAAAAGGGGGAGGGGGGGGATTCCCGTCAGCACACGACCCCTGTACAATTCCGAGGGCACCCAGTGGCGCGCTGTCCCTATCAAGTACCCATAGTGCAGCAGAACCTCGCCCAAGATGGGTGAATAGAATGTGCAACACATAACCAAGAGGCATCAAGGCGGCCCCAAGGCGGATACGAGTCGCCTTGGGAGTTCCCATGATAACCCCGAGAGGCAGACAGAACTCACCACACCTACAGTTTGATATGATTGTTAGTTCTGCCAGTGTGGATCCCAAGCGAGGGTTCTTGCACTATACGGTGCACTTGCAAGATGCAAGATGGTGTACAAAGCACGTGACGTAACAACTGTGATTAGACACAGGTTGTGCGAGATGGCCTAATACCGTCTAAGAGATGGCCCAAGACGGTATGAGATGGCCTTCGCGACTGCCCAAGACGTCCCAACTACGGACAGAATGGCCTCCAAGTCGGCTCAGAATGACTCCAAGACGGCCCAAGATGCCCGCCTGACGGCCCAAGGGGCCCCCACTACGGCCCAAGATGGCGCCAAGAGGATCTGGAACTCCTCCTGGCGCCATCTTGAAGGCCAAACTCACTAGTTTGCCTCATGGTGTTCAAAATTGTCACGTTCTCGCCGTTTCTGGCTTCCGACATCCGAAGACTGCCCCAGAGGTCTCCAAGATGGCACCAAGACTGCCGCAGACGCACCCGACTGGACTCCAATAGGACCCGAAGACGGGTCAATGGGGGCCCCAAGAGGCCCAAGAAGCTCCCAAGACTGCCTCATAAGGGCCCCAAGACGGCCACACAGACCTCCAAGACGGCACTGAAGCGCTTAAAGAAGGCCCTAGGGGCTCCCCAGACGGCCTCCGAACGCCAAGGGGCCCCTTTGAAGCCCTCAGAGGCCCCCAACCGGCCCCTAAGAGGTCCAAAGGCGGTCCCAGGAGGTCCCCGAGATGCCTCCCTTGCCTCCTGCTCCTCCTTCCCCTCCCTCTCCTGATCCACCCTCTTCCTCCCACAAGGAGTTCCTCCCAAACGTGTGCCCCAAGGCCGAGGAAACACGCAGCCCAATATCTTAACAAGACTTCGCCACCATGTTTGGCCACACAGGCGTTTCCAACGAGGGCCAGCGGTGGTTCGCCGTAGGCGTCTTCGACACCTACTTTCTTGCCCCCGACTACTACGTAATCCCAAAAACACGCGTTGGTTTAAGGTTGGTCTAGCGATATCGCTCGTTCTTTTTCCAAAGCACCTCTTCCCTTCCGGGAGGCTTACCTTCCCGCCCCCTCCTTGAGGTTTTTCAAGGCGGGCCGCGACGCGTCAGAGTGGACAATATAGATGGCTCAAGACGGTCTCAGAGGGCACCCGATGCTCCAAAACGGCTTCCAACATGGCTCAAGATTACCCGAGGATGGTTCAATATAGCTTCCGACATACCTCTAAGAGGCCCGACCAGGGTCAAAAGATGGTTCCAAGTGCTGTCGGAGCCCCCATCAGGACCCCCCAAAAGGCAAACAACCTTCAAGTAACAACGGAAAACACTGAATTGTGCCTTCTCGCCGTTTCGCTTCCAATGTGAGGCCTTAAGACGCGCCCAAGGTGGCCCAAGAGACCCCCAAGAAAGCCAAGGAGGCCCCCAAAACCGCCACAAGAGCGTCCAAGATCGGCCCAAAAGCGTCCCGATAGGGCTTTACTAAGGCAACCGGGGGTGGGGGAGGAGGAGGAGGAGGAGGAGGACGGGGGGGGAAGTCGGGCACCCCGCCCTTTTGATCGATGGCCTCCAAGATGGCCCCCAGAGGCCCTCCAGGGCTCTCACGGGACCCCCAAAATGGCTCCAAGAGGGCCCCAAGAGGGTCTCAAGAAGGCCCCAAGACCCTCCAAAGAGCCCCAAGAGGACCCCACGATTCCCTCAAGGAGTCCCAACAGGACTCCAAGAGGCGATTATGAGGGTTCGGTCTTCGTCCTCCTTGTCCTTCTCCTCCTCGTCCTCGTCCTCGTCCTCGTCCTTGCCGAGATCTTCTTTCTTGTCCGTCTCCTCTTCCTCGTCGTCGTCGTCGTCGTGGTCGTTGTCGTCGTCTTCCTCCTTCTCCTCCTCCTCCTCCTCCTCCTCCTCCTCCTCCTCATATTCCTCCCCCTCCTTCGCCTCATCCTCTCCTTCCTCCCTCGCCTCCACGAGGGCCCCAGGACTGGCCCGAAGAGGCCCTCCAGAGCCACCCCCTTGCTCGCAGAGGTCACTGTGCTCATCCTTGCTGCCCACTTGGTTTCACTACACGTGTCTCGCCGTTCCTTTTCCCCGTCGACTCTCGTGGGCAAAGTTTCCGAATGGGCTAGTCGGGATACGCGAAGCGTGAGGACCTACTGCGTGTATGGCCCGTACCGTCTACCAAGCATGGGTATGCAAGCATGTGTACATATGTGTATATACAATGATATACACATGCATGCATGCACACGTATGGACGCATGATTGCGTGGTAACGCCTCCCTTTTTGCGAATGAAGTAGGAATGCCCGAGCAATTGAAGCCCACGTCCCCATCCTCGTCCTCGTCACTGTCATCCAGGAGCAGCGCGCCGATGGTGGCCAACGTCAGCATGACGCCCGCCATGGTGAACTCGATCTTCAGGGTATCGGCGATAGACCTTAGAGGCTTCCTAGATGGGGTCCGAGTAGACGAGGTCGGAGGATCGCGCCGCATCGCCGATGCATCGCCGATGCTTCGCCGATGCGACGGCGACGCATCGGCGACGTCGGCGGTGCATCGGCGACGTTGGCCTAGAGACATTGGGGCTCCACGTCGAGCCGCACCGACGATGCAGTGGCGATGCGGCCAGCTCTCGGACCCCAACTGCTCGGGCCAAATTTGGGAGGCCCTGAGATCTGCCCCAGGGACCCAGTCGACACAATGGTGATGATGATAATGATGACGATGATGATGCTGATGATGATGATGGTGATGATGATGATGCTGATGATGATGCTGATGATGATGCTGATGATGAGTCGAAGACGAGGCTGATTCCTATGATAACTATGATGTGATGGTAGCGGTGGTGAAGATGAAGATGACGATGACGCCGATGATGATGATGCTGATGATGCTGATGATGATGATGATGATGGTGATGGTGATGGTGATGACGATAAACGTGGACATGAAAATAAAGATGCAGATGATCATCAGGTGATGAAGGTGTCAGGTGATGAAGGTGATGTTGATGGTGATGTTGATGGTGTCTATGGTGGTGGTAAGGGCGATGCTGATGATGGTACTGATGAAAATGATGATGATGATGAAGCTGATGATGATGCTGATGATGATGATGATGATGATGATGATGATGATGATGATGATGATGATGATGATGATGATGATGGCGTAGCCCCTTGACGCACCAGGTTATCTTGTGAGCAAGGCTCGAATGGTAGACTTGCGCTTTGCAATGGCCCTGGCTCGAGCTTTGAAGGAGAAAGAACGCATTCGGGGCCAAATCGCTTCAGCCCTCGAGGTAAACTAAATGCACTGAATGCGATATCATGCGCAAGAACCGCCGAAAAGACGGAGGAGGAGGTAGAAGCACGACAGCGGGCAAGCAACCACCGTTCGCAGACAGGACAGTCAAGATAATCCGCGGGCACAGGTGGCAACACTTTAGAAAGAGCAGATGACATAACAGGGCAGTGGAAAGAATGCAGAATGTAATCGCCGCCACATGCCCTGCAGCCAAAGTGACAAATCTGGCTCCCAGAGACGAGGCCAGAGAGGCGAATGCGTGAGCTAGTGGCGCATTCATTGCACATTCTCTTCAAATGCGCAGCCCCCCTAGGGGGGGCAAGGGCGGCAGAAACAAGGCTGAATTTAGACACAACCAAATCGCTTTGGGGGAGGCGGGCTCCTGGCATAAGATATCGAATTCGCAGGCGGAGGGCCGCAGCGGGGTTCGTGGGCACCGCCCGGAGCCTCAATATCTGGCGCAATTTCTTCTGCAGCCAGGCAGTGTCAGGGTCGTCCATCATGCCCGCGGCGGTGGACATGGAGAGGAAATTACAGACGATCGCGTCGCATGTGCTGGGGCGGCGCAACCTCTCAAGGCGCCCCGGCAAAGCGGTCCACGTCCTGTTTCTCCAGCCGCGTGCATCTCCCTCGGACCATTTCGAAGGCATCAAATTCCATGGCAATCCGAAGCGAATTAAATTCGCCTTCGCGCTTAAAAGCCCCGAGAAAAGTCAGACAAATTCAGGGCGGAAGGGCGCTTCGAGATGTCAGCGGGGATCGCGTGTTTCGGGGCAGAGGCCGGCAACTGATGGGCCTGCTTCTGCTTCTTTAGGACAAGCGGCGTCGGAGCGCACAGCTGGCCGATAAGACTCACGACAAGATAGGCAAGCGAGTTTCAAACAGTGGTGTTTTGGCAGAAACCTAACCCTAAGCCCTTAACGCGCCAGTCCCGCGTAGTGCATTCGATCCCACGAGCAAGCCAAGAACGCTCAGCCCCACCAGGGCCAACGCACACGCCGAGATACTGGCCGCAAATACTGACAGAAACCTTGCCGCAAGCACGAGCCGCAAATCCACACCGAAGGCCCGACTCCCAGCCACACGGAACATGACCCTGATCTCGCGCGCGGTGAACGGCACTGCAAACCGTGGGCGCGCGCAAGAGGGAATGGGGAAGAGAAAGGTTTCTTAGAAGGCGGCTACCCTCTGAGAAGGCGCCGGCCGCCCTTCTGAGAAGCCACGGGCGCGCCTGTTCTCAGAAACACACCAGCAGCTTCTTCTTAGAAGCACGGAACTGCTTCCCAGCAGCTAAAGCGGCTTGTACAAGTAAGCACAGTATGAACAGCTTCCAAGAAGCAGCCACAAGTTTCTTGAAGGGGGGCCCGCGCCATTGAAGAGAGGGAATGCTTCGGAGAAGCCTTCCTCCCTCCCCCGACCCCCCTATGCGCTGGCCGAGCAAGGACGAGACGGCACTTCGCGCGATTCAGCACGAGCCCAATAAGAAGCGCCGCCTGTGATGCAGTGCGGAGCAGGATCTGGAGAGAAGCAACAACATCGCTCGAGGCAGTACACATGTCGTCGCCAAAAGCTTGTGGAATACTAATAATAAAATCATGCAGACAGCGACGACATGCAAGGCCACCAGCAGTCGCGAACGAACAAGGTTTTCGAGAGTGGGCATCTCTACGCAATGCCTCTGGCAACGTGGTAGCCGCTTTAGAAATCCACCCGCTAAACGAATGGCGGTATACATATTTCTATGTAGCTTACAGCTGTTAAGCCTCATGAGCAACACAAGGGGGATACACCTATGGTTAAAGACAGTGGAGGTCCAAGGGCGTGCAATATTGGGAAACGCGGCACCGAAACCCAGGAAAAACAGAACATCCAGACGGGAATCCCAGAAAAAAAACGCATTCCGTAAAGGGGGACCCGGTCTACAGAACATTGCCCAGCATGCTTCGCCCTCTGATCGGATCGGGCGAAAAGGCGGGATAGCAACGGGGGGGTTTGAGAATCAGCTCACGTAGCTGATTTTCCCGGCGGCGCCTCCCGGCGCCGGAAGGCGGCTATGTATCGAGGAATGGGCCCCTCGGCGGGGCCGAAACCAGCTGCATGCAGCAGATGTCGTAACCCCCCCTTTCCCAATCCCCCCCTTTCGTCCGGCCCGATCTGATCGAGCCGACCACGTCTGGTTGGAGCGCGCAAAATACCGCGCCTGCAGGCCGAAGGGGATGCAAGGCACGGCGGCGCAGATGTTATGACACTCATTAACGGGAAATCGTGGCCCAGTCTCCTGCGGCTTCGTCTGCCCGCGCACAACCGCTTCGCCCTCGACGCCCTTGGACAAGCATAACGAAGCGCCAGCATTGAAGCCAGCTGGAAGGGGAACTTCCGACAGCATCGCCAACTACGCATCGTATAATATTTCCCTGCTTTTCAAACAACCTGTGGCCCAGCCCAAATATGGGGCCACAGCTGGCCCAGCCGTGGAATCTTCCCTCATACTCAAGAAGCCCAGGAGGCCAGACAACAGGGCGACCTGTTCAATGCCCACAGCGAATTTGTGACAATGAGCAAGAAATTTGGACGCCCGAAATGGGTACGGAAAGAATGGGTACCATGCTCAACAACAAATGTTGTCCCAAACCAACAGCGGCCGCTGTTGGGCAGGCGGCCTTCTGTCTCAAATGGACACAGGCCGCGGCGACACCGACAGCGAGTCCTGTTCAGAATGAATAGGACCTGCTGTTGGGCATTGTACCCATTCTTTCCGTACCCATTCCCTTCGTGCCGAATTGCGCGGCCTCGAATCGATGCGGCACGGCCACGGGCCGGGAGCTGCAGACGAACAGCCCGTGAGCATACATTCTGGATGGCCTTCGCGGAGATGTCTCGAGTCGGCGCTGGAGACCACCCCCCCTGAGGCGCGCGGACCTCCGAGTGTATTATTATCTGTTTGTGGGCTTCTCTCCTAGGACTGGAGGGCTGAGCACCCATTCCCTCCGTACCCATGTCGGGCGTCCAATAGAAACGCGTCAGACCACGCGGCCGGGAACAGGCGCGCCACGCGACAGCCGCGCGGACATGCCCCCAGAGGGCTCCGCGAGGCGGGCGACGCCGCCCTCGAGGAGTGGGCGGGCTCGCGCCCGGTCGCCATCCTCGGCGGCGACCAGTAGTGAGCGCCCATGCCTTGAAGGCCGTGTCTTGGGCGGCGCATGCAGCGCGGCAGCGCGCTCGCCATCACATCGCTCTGCAGATTGGTCGGGCTCAAACCTCCAGTGCACGTGTGCGCCAGTGAGGGGTACAGACGCACGTTCATAGAATCGTGTGCTGACGACAATGTGCGCGCGGTCATCGTCCGCGTACTGTTGCAGCTCGGAAGATGTCCGAATGCATTTCCTGTATGCCTTGTGGCACCGACATTCATGCTAGCACGCGTGCGTTTCAACCATACTGCCAACCTGCGTGTATCACTTTGCACACCATGTGTGTACACGCGCGCCTTGATCGCATCACTCGCGTAATAAGTCCTGTCCCTCATCTCAGCGAGGGCCCAAGGCAGGCCCCTGGAGAGATCGATATGAACGGTCGCCTCGTCAATGAGAACAGGTACTTCCGGATGCGCAATAATCCCGTGGGGCACGGTTGCAAAAGCTTGGTTCCCAAGAGAGAAGCGGATATGGACAGGAACATGGTCAATCGATTCATTCGATTCCAAAAATGTACTCAACAATCCCAGCACATGGTTTTGCCACCCTACTATCCAAACAACCCCAGGACCGATTACCTTCCCCAGGGTCTCTAAACTTATGAGTGGGCTCGTCCTGTGGAAGGTCAAGAGCATCAAGACACACACGGCGAACGCGTCGCGGATGAACAGGATGCTCAAAATGCTGCGGTCCGCCGTTTGTCCTGTTATGAGTTTCTCTGGGTTCAGGAACCTTACATCATCTGCAAAGAAGCTTAAGCAAGTCGACGCGTCTGGCAGTTTTTCCGCAAGGGAGTGCAGAATACAATGCTTTCTGGACCATTGAAGGTGGGGCAAACATGGATGTCATACCATGAAGGAACCCTCGTGTCCTCGGAGCTTCACAGAGAGCAGCCCCCCACCGTCCAGCTGCACTGGATCCACCGTCGCAAAGTCAAAGACTATGGAGCTGGCGGTGCTGATCGTCACGCCAACGGCGTGTTGGCTGCCAACAAAAAACAGAATGTGTGCGTACGTCGGACAATCTCGGCGTAGAGTCTCAAGATCAGCGCCCGACCTGTGCGTTCTTGCATTTCTCAAATCGCATGCGTTTTGATCAGAAGCGAAGCTGTCGTATCTGTTCTTTTGCCTCGACTGACATCCGCGCACACGTCCGACAAACAAAAAGGCTCGCGAGTTGCGCGCACATGCCGAGAACTTCTGCTTAAGCTTGAAAAGACATTCAATATCAACACCATTCCCGCAAGGATGTGGACGAGGATGTGGAAGATGGCCCTTACAATGCTGACCCTTCAAGCGACAAAGAGAGACAGACCCAGCGCCAGGCAGCGATTGCCCGCAGAGAGAGAGAGAGAGAGACAGAGTGGCAAGATCATGGCCCACAGGTCCAGGACGCGAGGGCGACATGGTCCATAGGCTCATCATTGACGGTGGTGTAGCAGAGATCCTGGTACTGATTCCATGCGAGTCCTGTTGATGGGATCCACCGTCCGTTGGTGCGCATGTCCGCTTCCATCTGCCTGCAGATCGAACTGAGAACGAAACCTCTGTTCGTGGCATCGTGGGGCCTGTCGAGGCCGATGCGCAAGTCGTGGCGATGCTCAGAAGGAGGCCCGAAAAAAACGGACGAGGTGGCCCCGAGCACATCCGTAGCACGGCCGTGCGTGCCCCGCCTCGCCGAAGTGGACTGCGCAGGCGAAGCGTACATTCGGGCACCGACGTCGGCCCTTCTCGCGGCGCTCGTCTCGCGTGGGGCTCTCGAAGGTTCTGAGATGGGTGCTCAAAGACGATGTTCAAACGCTTCCTTGGGAACCCACGACCCCATGTCTTGCGTTTGTCCGCCGGCATGGTGGGGCGAATCGTTGACCGAACCGACGGAACTCCAGCAGAAGACCCAGCCGACTAACATGAAAGAGCACGTCTGAATTTCGAGTCCAAGTCCGCGTACTGAGCTTCCAGCGCCTGCAAGCGCGCTGCAGCAGAGAAAGTGGAGGCAACCTCATGGATGTCATCCATTTTCGAATCTCCATCACGCTGTATGCCCTGCAACTTCAGTTCTAGCTCGTCCATCATCGCAGCGCGTGCCGCGATGACCTCCTGCATTTTGGCAATCGTGCTCGTGTTCTTGGCGATGCCTTCGAAGAGACACTTGTCGAGGCTGGCGATGTTCTTGCTGGCGTTCGTGCTGCTCTGGTTGACAGGTGCCCAAATCTCACCCCTGATGAGCCGCAGCTGAACGGCATCCAGGACTGATGACAGTGAGAGGTGGGAGCGATGTTCCTCCAGCTGCAGGGCAGCTCCCTCGAGGGATCGAGTGCGGAGAAACTCCTGATGCGCGTCCCTGGGCCCTCCCCACGGCTGCGTACAAGTTCTATGCCTCAGGGAGCAGGCGTAGACCTTGAGCCAAACAAACTGGCTACGGGTGATGAAGACAATGGTGATGTTGATGGTGATGGTGATGTGATGACGATGATGATGATGCTGATGATGATGATGACGACGACGACGACCACGATGATGATGATGCTGCTGCTGATGTTCATCATGATGATGATGGTGACAATGTTGATGGTAATGCTGTGGATGATGATGACGACTATGATGACGATGGTGATTATGATTATGATACTGACGGTGGTGATGGTGACGATGATGCTGGTTATGGTGACAATGATGCTAATGATGCTAATACTGATGTGAATGGTGATGATGGCGACAAAGGTGAAGAGCACGATGATGATGCTTGTGGTGATGAGTATCATGATGTTGTGATGGTGATGAGGATTATGGTGATGATGATGATGCTGACGATGATGAAGATGGTGATGACTGTGCCGACGATGATGATTATGCTGATGATGGTTGTGAGTGCGATGCTGGTGACGATGTCATGCTGAGGATGATGATGATGCTGATGATCTGATGATGATGATGACGATGATGATGATGATCATGCTGATGATGATGATGATGATGATGATGATGATGATGATGGAGATACCGATTGTACTTATGATCATGATGAGGGCGTCGGCGATGGACCTGCCGTTCTCCAGGGAACCCGTCGACACGATCGTGATCTCCTGGCCCACGGTGATGCAGGAGTTCAGGAGGGCCATCTGCAGGGCCGTGCTGACGTGCTTGCCCTCCTTCTCCGCCCGCTTGTTCAGCACGGCGACGAGGCCGAAGGGGATGGCGAAGGAGCCCACCTTGGGAATCAAACGTCTAGACGGATCCGCCTCCTTTGATGCCCTGTTCCTCGAATGTCGGGCTGGCGAGAGGGAAGGAGGAGGGGGGACCTCAGGTTTGGCGTTTAGACAGATCCGCCTCCTTTGATGCCCTGTTCCTCCTTGATTCCAAGGGGGGATGGCGAAGGAGCCCTCCCCCCTCCTCCTCCGAAGGTGTGTTCTCTGTCCTTGGGGAGGGAAGGGGGGAGAAGGAGGTGGATCTGAGTCGTTGTCCCCCCTCCGACACCTCGGGCAACATATCCGCATCTCTGCCCGGGCCCTCGCGGTCTGGACTCTGGCGTGCGATCCCGCGGATGCACGGTCGCACAAATGTGTTCCGCGCGGGGCAGCCGCGCAGAAACGGCCCGCATCCGCGGGGTCTCGGCCCAGGGGGCTGGCACGCGAGGCGACGGGTAATCCCACCAGCCCTCTGGGCGTCGGTGGTTTAGAGCGGTTTCTCTTCCACCCCTCCTTCTTCTCCTTCGGGGAGGGGTTGACCCCTCCCCCTACCCCCTCCCCGTGGACCTGGACGGGGGGGGCCGCGAGCGGTCAGAGCGTCCAAAACGGCCTCGGCGAGGCAGCCAAAATCATTGATTGGCCCCATGTTGGCCTCCTGGGGGGGCGAGGCTAATTGAAGCTCCGCTCTTCTTTGGTAGATCTCCTCCAAGATGGCCCCAAGAAGCGCCAAGGAGGCCCCAAGAGGTCCCAAGATGGCCCCAAGATGGCCCCAAGAGGCCCCCAAGAGGCCCCCATGAGGCCCCCAAGAAGACCCTCAGCGGCCCCAAGAGGCCCCTCCGGAGGCACCCAAGACCCAGAAGAGCCCCCCAGGATCGCCAAGAGACCCCCAAGACGTCCCAAGAGGCCACCAAGAATCGCCCAAGAGATACCCCAAGAGGCTCCGAGAGGCATCCAACAGACCTCTGGCCCTTGTGCTTGCCCTCCTCCTCCTCCTCCTCCTGTTCCTCCTTCCGGCTCCTACTCCGTCTCTTCCTCCTCCTCCTCCCCCTCCTCCTCCTCCTCCTCATCCTATTCATCCTCCCTCTTCCCACTCCCCCATCCATCCATCCATGCACCTCCTCCTTCTCCTCCTCACTCCTTTGCACGCTTCGGCCGTCCTCCTCTTTGCTGCGGCACTTCCCCGATCGCCTCAGCTCGCCTGGACCTCGTTTCCGGATGGGCTGGTGGGGATGCTTTTTTGGTCGCGGCCGCGAGCGAACGCGCAGGCGGCAAGAAAAGTAGTCCGGGCCGACGGGCTAACCTATTAGCTGCTGGGCGCAGCGCGAGCCGGCCAGGCCCGCTCACAGAGGCAGCGTGGGGATGCGCGTAGCGTCTAGAATTACGGATGTGCCATTCGCCCGCGACACCTCGGGCAGCACGGAGAACATCATGCACAGCAGGGCGAGCGTGCCGTCGTGCCCGACGAAAAACGCGGCGAGGATGCTCACGACGGCTCCCACGAAGATGCACGGGGCGTATGCCAGCCTGGGGAAAGAGAGAGAGGGCCCGTGCGAGCGTGCCGTGGGACTGCTCGAAAGTAAGGGAGAAGGAAGATGCCAATCTTAGGGATTCCCTTATTTTTTGAGGGCGAATCCCTAAGATTGTCATCGCCTTTTGGCGTGTCAATCTTAGGGATAGGGATACTTTCGAGGCTGGTAAGCTCTGGACAAACGCATCATCCCCGAAGGCCTGCAGCAAGGAGACTCGTGGAAGCACGCGAGCGAAGGTTCTGAAATTCAAGGAAGGAGCCACATGAAACACTATGTTTTCGACTCCCGAGGGGATCCGGGATTTCGCCCAGCCCCCAAATACAAGTGCAAGGGATACCGCTCCCCATCCCTCCTCCCCACTCTACTTATCCCCCCCCCCCCCTCTCCTTACCTCGACCTCATCATACTCCTCCCCGTGGTCCTCATCCCGCCTCGTTCGCCTTGAAAGGCTGATTCAGGCATGACACCCGGACATCCTGGGGGGGACCAGCTTGTTGATCATGACGAAGATGATGAGCAGCGAGGTCACCAGCTGAACGGCGGACTTCCCCAGGCCCGCGGTGGAGAATGTCCGCTGGCTTTCGTCCCACCTGTCCGCCGCCTCATTGCGAACCCAACCTGGGCCCGGCCCGAGCCCCACGAATGGGGGGGTACATGTGCTCACACCCATACACCTCTCATCGTCTTGTTGAGTTCCTTACTCGGGAATGATCTTCGCCCCGTCACGATTGGCGGTGAAGCAGAGAGAACGTTGACTGTGATCAGCGGCAGACCTAGTGGCAAAAGATGAAGAGGATAGGCAGGAAGAAGAGGATGGGAAAGAGAAGGCGAAGAGCAGACGAAGGCGCCCTTGACCCAGATGGAAGAAAGGGTGCGCCCAGGTTGGGTTCGCCCGCCTCTTTTGTTGCAGTTGTTCTGAAGTCGCCCTCGTACACCGACACGCCAAACCACTGTCCCCCGAACGAGTTCCACACTGTGAGCCCAGCCCATACGAGGCAGTGCACGAATGCCAGGTGGTAGAGCAATTTGGGGCTGCCTGTGACGGCGTGGGCAACATCAATGACTGGCTGAAACACGCTGGGACGTTCACCAGGCTCCAAGTGTATTGGTGTCTCTTTTGCCACCGCAAACTGGATCCCGACAGTAAGGGTGTTAAGGGCACAGACGAGGATCATGAGCTCGACCATGTGTGCGATGGCTTTAGGGTAGAGCTTCATCATTGTGAACCCCAGTGCGTTCCCAACGCTCATGAGGCACACGAAGATGACCTGCGTGGGGAGGGTCTGCTTCTCGGAGGCCAGGTCTGCGACGAGAGCACGGTGCGGAGTCTGCAAGACGTTGATCGTTACGTCCATCACCAGAAGCATCGCGCCGGCGAACCAGTAGGCGTTCTCGCCCGGTACCACGTAGTCGGCCCCAGCAAAGAGCATCCCCGCAATCCACGTGGACACCAGCCCCACGAAGATGACGGGCCTGCGGCGCCCGAAGGGCGAGGTGAGCCTGTCGGAGATCGCGCCCACGAGGGGCCCCACAAAGAACCCTGTGAACGGCCCGCACTGCAGCAGCAGCGCCGCCACGTGGTCCGGCGCGCCCAAGCGCCCCAGGAAGGTCGCGGTGTTCGGCCCCAAGAAGGCCCTTCCGCACCCCCACTCTCTTGCCTCACACCCCACTCCGCCCTCCTCCTCCTCTCCTCCTCCTCCTCCTCCTCCTCCTCCTCCTCCTCCTCGTCCTCCTCCTCCTCCTCCCTCCCTCCCTCCCTCCCTCCTCCTCCACCTCCTCCTTTCCCCCCACCCCATCTCCATCCGCCTCCGCCGCCCTCTCTCTCTCTCTCGCTCGCTCTCTCTCTCACCCTCCCTCCTGCGTGCCTCCCCTTCGACGGGGCGGAGGTTGCTCCAAGCTCGGCGTGCGATGATCACGGGAAAGAGGTCCCAACAACGTCATGCGGAATGACTCCAAGCCTGGGTCCCTCCCCTCTGCCCCACCCATGCCTCCCTCTCTCTTGGAGGCAGCAAGGGTGTCTGAGCTGGATAAGCCCAGAGCAAATATGTCAAGAGGGAGGGCGAGGGCAAATCGGTTCAATATGTATCCCCAGAGCCCTACCAGAGTCAAAACGCACCAGTTTTTCGGGCCGCGTCCAGCCGTGGCGACGAGGGGGCCCATTTCTGCGCCCGTTCTGCCGACCAGAACCAGTGCTGGGCCACCTCAACCCCCGAGTCAGCTCCAATCCTGACCTGTCCCCCTCTCCTCCACCCCACCCCCGCTTCCCTCCATCCATCCCCCCTGCCCCCACCAGATCATCTGGACGCTCACCTGGGGCAGGCCGAGGATCGCCAGCTTCCACAAGGGCCACTCCTCCTTCTCCTGCCACGGATGCGGCAAATGAGACTACGACACATCCTCAGGCTCCCTCTCCTGCCTCAGATCCTGCTCTTCCTCCAGCCGTCATCATCCTCATCACTCATCATTCATACAAAATACCATGAATAAGCGTAAGAACACCACTAACAAACATGCACTAATCAAAGTAATAAGAATAAGATGCAAAAGAAGACTAATCCTACTCAAGACAGAAATATCCTACTAATCGTAAGAAAACTAATAAGCATAATGAATACTACGGCCACTACCTAATACCATACTCCTCCCTCTCCTCCCCTCATCCCTCATAATCCTCAGCCAATCCTACTCTCCTACTCCTCAATGCATCATCCTTCCTCCTCTTATGATTAGTTTTATCATTACTACTATTGGTATTGTTAGTGTGGCTCTCAGCGTAAGTACTATTATTTTACATGTGTGGTTACCAGTCTTGTTATATGCACCATTTTTATTTTCAAAAATGGTATAGGTAGTATTGGTATTAGTACCAGTAGTATCGTTAGTAGTAGAAATATTGTAAGTAGTAGTATTAGTATTCTTACTATTGTTAGTCTTGGTATTACTATTAGTAT